GTCGGGCTGGATATGATGGTAATGTCAGATGCGGTATCCAGCTGTAGGCGCATTGAGTGACACTGACAAACTAACGAAGTGAAAGAAATCCTTCCTGTGCAGTTGCATAAACCACATTAGGCTCCCATTTGATTCCGAGTTGTTGGAAAGGTTCTGATTGATCACCACGATGTGGACGTTGTGTGGTTGATCGGCAATGCCTTTATTTATGGCCATTCTCGTGGCAGACGGTGCACTGGTTATAGACATCTGTCGGTGTTCGAGTAGAGATTGAAGCAACCATTGCGATCTCTGACATCAGTTATCTCGATTGCAACATTTGTGAGTCACATTTTAAGTTAACCAGACACTGACACTCTGCCGTGACGTCCTGAATGGTGAAATCCAGAGATGGGTCCAGTTTGGATAACAGACTTGTTCGGATTTTTGCGTGAGTTGCAGAGGTCAAGCCAGGTAGAAAAATGAGTGACTTGTACCGAACATCTGTAAGTTATTTGAGCTTGAAATGTTCACATGATTGATTCACTCTGCTGGCATATGAAACATTATCCTCGGATTGATTCTTAACCAGCTTCAAATACTGATAACGGATGTTGAAAATTGCGAACTTTTCACCAGAAATGGAACATCTACAGTCTGCTAGAAATTGCACTCGCTGGAATGTTTCGGTAGAATGAAATCACAGTGCTGGTTGTGTTCATTTTCGCCCAGCTTCAGAAGCAACAACCGTACTTTGGCCGCATCAGCAAGCGTGATCGCGTCAACCAGAAAGATATCTTCAAACCGCCTTTATCAGGTTGCGAATGGGATGCCATTCTCTGCGGCATGTTGGAAATGTTGCATTCCGTTTGCCGACGCTCCAGCTGAACTGGACTCGGTTTTCACTGTGGCGGGTTAGATTTAGAGATGACAGATTCCCAGTGAGTGCTTGGAATAACGATGTCTGTCTGTATTCTTGTTGAAACATAGCCCGCCGTTGTTGCTGGATGCGATCATGTTGCTGTTGTAGTACGTGGGTTAGCTGTGAATGCGCAGCCATCTGTATCGTCAGCGTTACAATTGCGGTTACTGGGGCGTAGAGCGGTCAGAACAGAGTTTCACCGCACCGGACAGTGTACTGACCAGATCTTAAGTCACATGAGAAAAGCAAGACAGCCGACAATATAGGTTAAGGTGAGAGTGGCTGTCAGGCAAGCGGCGGCCTGATGCATATGAACCTCAGTAGACCATTGGGTGAGAGTGAAGCGTGTGGGACGACATCGCCATTATGAGGCACCGGATCGCCTGGTGTAACAGTAAAATCATGTGATGTAGGTCACTGTTACCAGGTAACCATGCTTCTGCGGTGTGTCGGAAATGAATGGCTCGTGATTTGAGTTGAATATTTAGTAAATATTTAGAAGACTAATCACGAGCCATAAAAGTGACAAACGCGAGCGCGGGTTATACGGAGATGGCGTAAGTGCCTTACGTTGCTAAACGCGACGATGCCTTAGTGAATATGTAAACCAGTACAAATTTAGTGACAGCGGTGGAGACAATCAGATACTCATCATTAGTTCAAATATTCCCCCATATTATTGTGTAAAGCTCACATTAATGAAGGAGGCACAAATGCACCATGTCACAGTTAGCAGGGATGAATGTTCATTGAAGCGGATAAGTGTAAAATATAGACTAAGAAATACATCGAATTGCGAACGTGAGTGTACTATGATCCTGCAATCTGTTCCAAATACTCGTCACTCATCGCTCGAAGCAAAGAGAGTGGCTAAGTCGATATAAAATCGACGATACACCAATGCACTAGTGTCCGCGTGTGCGCAATGGCCTTAACATGGGGAAATCAAAGATAAACAAGGATTAAGTCGAGTCACACTAGACGATAGGATAATCTGTTTCTTGCCCAAGTCTTCGTACGGTAAACCACGTAAATCGGCAATAAGTCTAGTGGCAATGTACTCGAACTGTTCGATCTCCGATGTCTCGCATCGGGTGTTCAAAAAGTAAGCGGTAAAGCTGTACTATAGCATAAGTCCTATGGTGGAGTAGAAGGGACAAGCGGTTCCGGTTGGAATGTTAATTTGATGAATTTAGTAGACGTGTGTGTTTCAACACACGGAACGTTCTCAGCGCAATTCATAGAGGTAAACAACTGTTTCCAATGAATTACCTACTGGCCGGTACAAATCGTATGAGGTTAATATCCGAAGGGAAAGATTGTGATTGGTTCGGAGTTTTGTTCAGAATTAAGTAGATTAATGGCTGGACAGCAAATAATTCCCCGCCGTCTCATTGACACAGATCGACGGAGTGTAACTGCAATGCCTGAGCCGATCATGGTGACAGCTAGGTGGATGGCCATTCGACCAGGGCAGATAGATATTGTACAACCATCTATCTCTAGCACAATGGGGTTGGAATATTCGGATGCAGTAGCCTGTGAAGTTAAGAGCATTCATAAACGCGAACCTGAAAAATCACTGGAGACGCATTCGGTAAGGTAACCCGGTGACAGAATACTCTTGTGGGAACTCTGATGCACCCGGCCACCAACCAGAGCTAAATTCCTTAATGCGACGTGATAATTGACGAGCTGTTCGACCGACCACAGATGAACTCACAACCGGTACGTTGTCCAGCTTGTTCGAATCAGGTCCCCGGCTAACCTTCCAAGAGAGTTTACAGTGATTTATCAGGTTCCCATGAGCAAATCGAAGGATTCGCGTTTAAGCACGCTCGTCACTGCAGAGACTATTGTGATCCACATCTTCTAACCCATACAATGCTCGCGAAAAAAGTTGGTTCCGTCTCTCTACCTGTCATGACCGAATAGCCATCAACCCACCCGCCACTCTGATAGCGGTCACGTAACCCTCGATCGATCGGTAAGAGTGAGACAGCGGCCAACTATTTGCAGTCCCATCACTGACATAGTTAGTTCGGAACAAAGCTTTAAACCAATCACCATCAAACCCTTTGTATTTTAACCTCATATGATTTTTACTGGCAAATAGCCAAATCATTGGAAACAATTGTTTGCCTCAGACTGATGTCTTCTACGATTCGCTGAGGAGGGTCCATATGTTGAAAGGTACCAAACACCTTACACATCCCAGTTGGTCTAGAAACAAGATACACTTGGACCGGAGAAGTAGAGCTACATCACATACTCGAAGCCAATGGAAGTCGGCGGCGTTATAGAACACTCGGCTGAAATTAATGTGGGTGACATGAACAGGCTTCTCCAAATACACTACTTGGAATCATTCAAGATTCGCCACATGCAATGTTGTGATGGACGAGAGGAATTTCATGAAACCAGTCATTTTCCACGACATCGAATGTCACAAGGAAGTAATAACAGTGAGACGTTAGCGCACGAATGAAGCCATTTACTTACCGTCCAAGCAAAACGGAAAAATTAGACTACTACAACAATGACGTATCGCGGAGCGCGTGGCAAATGTCTTTGCACTCGATGAAAGTGAATGCAACCATCACACATAGCTTGTAGCCAATAGGTTGGACTAGACTGTAATTCGGCAAGCGAAAACCAACAGCAGAACAAATGTTGTCCACTGAATGAAACAACTCGGATGAATCCGCTGAAAGTGGCAAGATAAGATGGTACGCAAAACATCCAGGATCCGGTCACCTAACATCTACAAAGTGGTGTGATTGGCTACACCAAGTCCAGGCGAATCATGAGCAGAAAAGCTCTGCCTTGTACTCATCCCATAGTCCGCGGCGAGGAGGAATCAGCCAAAAAGTAAAAACCATTTAGGGCATACCATTGCGCTTCAAGATCCAAACTGATGCCAAACACTTCACACACAGATGAAAAGAAGATGGCAACATGTTCACACGGTAAACAAACCGTAGAGGTTGTGGAGTATGGATCAACCATTCATGCAACGGATACGATAGGTAGATCGTATCTCATTGCCTGCAGGCTCCATGATCCCAAAAACAGTTTTCCAAAGAAATCAAGCTTGGAAACGTAATGTGGAAAGGCGTCAAGACATACGTAAGTGGCCATACAGCATTCAGTTGGGTGCAGCGACGTACAATTACACGGCACTGTCGGAGGTCACGAGTGAATGAGAGTAGGGAATCCTTCACGCAAAATGATGACTATATCAGAAAACAAAAAAAGTTAACCATAAGGGTAGGATATTTAACACCACTTCTTTTTTCAGGAAACAAAAGATTAAAATCAAATGCGTCTGAATACCTATCATCGCCAGTTAAAGTAGTCTGGGATTCAGACACCTAATGGTGTACTATTATTATTAGTAGTAGTAATAGCAGCAGTAGTAGTAGTAGTATTCAACACTTGACCAATGCACAATTGGCAATGCCATAACACATAGTTAACAACAACAAAAAGGGAAAGGCAGGTATTCAGTGGAAAGGTTTGGAAGATTTAGGTTAATGTGGTGTATAGGCAGAGATCTTACAGGTTGCCCAGGCCGAGGAAGTGGGTTGACTTAAGGGATCCCACCTCGAGGCTTTGGTCATAAAGATCTGACCCGCAAGGCGAGTAACGAAAACCGTTGGTATCCAGGTAGCCCATTCGCCTTTTTTGTGTTCCGTAGCAGTCCACAGAGAAGCAGGTGGCCGACAAGGCATTCACTTCTGGTTACAGGAATGAGTGGTCAGTGAACCTATAGCCGGTCACATTGGCTTTGACACAGAGCCATACGAGGTCTTGTGGTATTTGTTGGAGAACCAGCCCAGAACTCCCCACGCTCTAAGATGCTGTCGCTGATCGCCCGCGACTGTTTATTCATCTGGCCTGCAAGGCAAACGAGTAATTCGCAGTTAATTCCACAGGGAAGGCATTCTAGAATGCGCAACCTGGGGAAGCGACCGATAGCGTACAGCTCCGCCTGATGGTGTATCCTAAGAAAGTACACATCAATCGGGTATTTTGCCACGAAAAATACAACTAGACCAAAAATAGAAAAGCGCGATATGATTTAAGTTGCACTTACTCATGTGGACGAAGGCTATGTGATATTTGAGGTACGTCTTAGAAAAAGATTTCTTACAATACTCGCAAGTGTGTGTTCGCTGTTCTGGAAAGGAGAAAAAAGATGACTATTCACGGAGAACAAGAATAAAAAGACGGTTGTGGCGCCACAATGAAAACGACGCTTAAATACACTTGCAAGGACGGAATATATATATATATATATATATATATATTGCGTGTGAAAAAGTATACGATTCATCGGAATATGTCAGGAACCGACTGGGAATTCATAAGTTGGGTGGAATATAGAAAACCGATTCCGTTTAGTATTGGCTTGTTGGATATGACATGAAGAAAGGAGCAACAATGAAGACAAGAAGAGGCATAACTTTGTAATTGCTTTTTCACACCCTATTTTGCACATTTTACGGAGGTAATGCTTTTGAAATCGGAAAGTTGCAAATACTAGGCCAATGTTGTCAGTTTTGTGCCAAATCCTTCGAATGTTGTGAGCCACCAGCATATTGGATCTTTGGGTCCATGACCACGAAAACGTACGAGGCCAAAAGTGGCTGGAAAGTAGTGGCTGATCTCATACTTGGTTGCTAAGTGGTCTGCAGACCTCCAAATGACTTCTTCTAATGTATCCCTACGTGCACCAAGTGGGGCGTCGTGGTAAACGTCCAGCAGGCATGTGTAGAAAGTAGCCCAAGCCATCTCAGCCAGGGCAGCAGAACAAACTCCCTGAGAGGAAGATGCACCTTATCCAGGATGTTGTGTAGCATATGACCGATGCGCACGTGGTGCTTCTGCCAAACACCCGAGATCCACACAAACACTCATTGCCAAAGGCAGAAATCCTAAGCAGGTTATGTACACGAATCGGCCAGAATTACACACAGACCAGCTAACAAAGGCGAACTGCATATAACCCGCACATTTGGATGGCACTGAGAATCTCTAGTTGAAACTGACTTCATTTGACGTGTGCTCACTACAGTCTATAAAACGTATTCGACTAGCGCAAGAAACGCATTGATGATTAACAAAATCCTATCAAACCGATTAGACTATGACATCATCAGGAGGGAAGTCGGTTGAAGAATCCGGTGTCCACAAAACGAAGAAAAATTCAATGTTACGCCGACGCTATGCTGATACGCGACCACTATCAGTAACGCATGGGTTGGTATGCAACGAGTCCGTCCGGACAGAAGCAGATTCGAAACGCTGACCTTCGGATTACAAAACATGCGTCTAATACTTCCAGCAAACGACCGACCGGATGTACACAACGAGCATGGACAAACTTTTTCTACCCGGTATTGTTTTTCGGTAACCGCCACCACCGGATTTGGACGACCGATGGTGGCCGACACATAATCTATGCCGTAAAAAGCTGATGCTCAAACATACAACAATTTAAGAAACAAACAAACCACAACTGTTACAACAGAAGTGCACAAACACAAAACAAAATTATATGTGTACCATTTGACCGTGTACCACACAAACGGTTGGTGAAAATGCTTGAATGCTTTGGAATCCGGAATCCGTTTTTAAGTTGCCTTTCCTCCTACCTTAGCAGTCGGTCTTAAATAGTCAATTTGGGTGACCAGCACTCTCCACTTCGAGCAATTACCAGCGGTGCCATCCAAGGATCAGTGCTGGGCCCCTTAATTTGTCGCCGCTACATCAATGATATTGGCATGTTAATCAAAAATGGCCAACTTTTCTGTTTGCTGGTGATATCAATATTGTTTATAGACTCCGGCTTGATGCGATTCAGAGCATAACAGCTTTACTTTCCACTCTCTTGTGGAATGATCTGAGACGTAGCTGACAAAACTCTCAACCGACAAATCAAACATTATAAAATGTGATTGCTCGATCCCCGATGGGTCAATTAAAATTAACTACAATAGTGTGTCCATACAGCACTCTGTCGGTAAAGTGGAATATGATATTCTTCAGACGTCCGCCTTGCTCAACAAGTCCAATACCAAACAGCTCGAACCAGGCAATCCGTAGCCAACATATGCCACAAAATCCATACAGTCCCTGCCAGTCTGGAATCATTTAAAACCGTCAATGCAACTTCACCTATGGCAACATGGGTAGGTTAAACAGCAGGGCTACGGAAAATTTAGAGGACACTCACCAAGCGTTTGCTCAAAAGCACATCCACTATAAACTACCGCGAACGTTTCAAGCAGCTTCACATCGAGCTTCTATGGCAGCGACGTCTAAAGCAAAACCTGGTGCAACTTTGCAATTTGTTGCACCAGAAAATGCACTCAAAGACAAAACACAATAACAATCAAAGACTCTGAGAGAAACAACGTACACTACTGATACCAAGCGCTAAAACAACCATGCGTCCCAGCGTTCTCCTCATCAGATAGGCCGTCCTGTGGAACGCCTACCAACCGCAAACAGGACATGCTGTGGGGGACTAAAAACAGACACTACTGCACCAGTGATCAGCAGTATAGACACCGGCATGTTCGAAATGACGTTGTGCGTAGGCGAGTGTTAGGCAATGCTACTCAAACTACTTAATTAGAGTAACAAATAGCACTGAATAAGTTGCATTGGTTTGGGCACGTACTACGTATGACTAATCATCGCTTACAGAGGACGACCCTGTTTTGTTTGCCAGATGTAGGGCAGCGTAAGGCTAGGAGTGGGCAAAAGTTAAGTTGGCAGCGGAAAATGAAAACACTGATGACCAAACTCGGGGCCGCGGGTCCGTCTCGCCTTCCAGGCTAGTCTAGGTGACGCGCCTAGTGCCTGGTTCGAGACTTTACAGGTAGACATCAGTGGCGCGTCTGCTTCCGTCTCCTAGCCGGATTGCCTGTTTAAAGGGTGTTTGGTGCTGTTATCTGCGGGGTAATGGATGACTATGGCGCGGGGCAGTGAAAACCGCAAGAAAGCTCTCCCGCCGATGCCGCCTTATCTTTGAAGGATAGCCCACTGTTTGCGACGGCTTGTTGTTGACAAGGTGTAGGCGACTTGACCATGAATGTCTGTTTAGGGCATTAAGGTATTGCGGTAAGTCCCCCTTCTCTCGCTGTTATTATCCTTCGTTGCACAGGTCGTTATAGCTGTATGACAGCGAAGCATTAGTTGAAATGGCAGGTGTACTACTGTTGAGGATGATGAGTATAGAAGTGCCGAGAAGCCAAACGGTAATGTGCCAACATCAAGTCATAATAATTCCACAGAAGGAAAGGAACGCTTGGGAACCGCGGACGTATACAGGCGAGGAGTGGACACAAGCAATGCACACCACACAACCACTAGACATAGAAGCAACGCGCGCCATGCAACCTCCAACAGGGAGTGCATAGATGAGTGGAAGTTACGTTGGTTAGAACCGATGCATCTGGCATTGCTGTTTAACACAATAAAGAACTCCATCCATGCCTTTGATTGGTTTAATGTGAAAACCCTACGTAATTCCGCGCCAAACTGGACAGATTCTTAGATATAGAAGCGTCATTATCCATGTTTACATCCGACAAATGACCCGATGAAATATTCTAGGATGATCCAAAAACTATGAAAAATGCTAAAATTTGGCGTCAGTATGCACGCATGCAAGAGCATGACACTTCCTGTACATAGTGAGCAGTTCCTAAATTAGGAACAGTTTCTTACACTTTCGAGAAATATACGTATACATACACCGCCGACACAACGAAAAGCACCACGACTCATCCAACTATAGAAGAAAAGAAAGGAACAAGGCGAGTTGCTTGCTGAAGAGAACAACTCGCTATGCGCTGTCACAGACAGCTCAACAAGTTTACTTTGACTCATTGAGCCACACACGTTCAAGAGCAGCGGGTCCTACAAGTAAGAAGTGGCCAGCAGGTGTTTACCTCGAATTACTACGCCTGGTAGGCTAATAGGCAAAGTGAATTATGTTGAAGGTGCACTACACAAAGGGCCCTAACAGGCACGGAAATCAAATGCAGCGGGTGGCAAACCGTGATGATATACGACTGGATATTCGTGAATCAAAAATGTTCCTAGCTGATTCAACCCATAGCCGGAACCGACAAAATGCTATTCACCGATGATGACGCATACACAACACTAGCCAAATGAATTCGGATCCGTACGGCTGAAGTGACTTAGCCGACAGGTGTTGTACACGCGAGCTGAGGCTGGAGCGGAAATGCTTAACCTCCCACGACTGCACCGAAACTCAGAAAAGAAAAACTAGCTGATAGTAAGAGCTTGTTTACTAAGTAAGTCAAAGGCAAAGTTGAATTTTCAAGTCAAAGGCAAGTTATACCTTCCACACCTTCTTATATATACCTCAACAGGGTAGTACGTAAACTACAGAGGAAGGAGCATGTCGATAAGCCCATGCGTTGTAACGTAGTGCCCTGAGGAAAACAGCTGAAAATAGTGTGGTTTCAGTGGTGAGTAAAGCGATGTGCGGGAGAGAGCTCGGTTGGTTCACTACGAAATGAGTCGGCAGATATGGCAGTTCTGAGGCGGACTCGAGTTTTACCTGTACAATTTGACTCCCCGCATGAAAACAGTATTGCGAAAGTGAGGTCGGACAAATGCTGCGCAAGTTTCGTGGAGCAATGCGAACACCATAACAGTCATCGAACATATGAAGCGAGTGAACATTCGGCAATGAGAATTGCGTGAAATAAGTAGACAATGGAACCCGAAAGATGGAAGTGTGCACTCACTCAGATGAACAGAACGAAGGTGCCTCAGTAGAGCGTTTGACCGACTAAATGATTTATTACAACGGAAGCATGTGTACCCTCGTTGCGCTGAAAAATAAAATGATCGGTGAAGTACGAGGTATGTATAAGGAACAAATCCTCCAAATTCAAAAAGGCAATCTCGAAATGACTCATCCTGAGCACAAACGTGCGACGGCTGGAACGTCCAAAAAGCAGAGTCATAACACTCAGTAGCGTGATCTCATATAACGAGCGGAAAGGTACAGATAACGAAGCGCCGATAACACACTATTACTAATCCCGGGGGCTGGTGTTGTGAGGTGTGCTAATGACCATTAGACTAGTGAATTAAATATTTCACCTCCTTCTCATATCCGAGACTGATGTGAAGCAACGCACAAACCATGTGATAGAACAAACGACATTTATTCATTTCGACGTGGGTACGCATCCGCGAACACCCCCCTGATGAAGAGTGTGGCGCCACCGGACAGCAGCGATGCTTCGTATGCAACGAGGTGCGATCAGAATAATGGTAACACCAGTAGCCGTAGTCGACAACCGAAAGCGCCCACTTCATCATCGTGTCACTCAAGACCCATTTATCTAGAGCAGACGTTCTCAACTTCTATTCAGCCGTGGCCCCCTTCAAGCTTACCATTTCCTATGACACCCCAACCTTTGAACACCACAACTTCAGCAATCCGTAAGGCCTAACAGACGCAAATCTGTGATTTCCAGTGATTAGATTGGTACAACTTGTTATGATGGCTAAATTTCTAATGTTGGTATCACTGCTGTTTCCCTTATAAACCCATTTTGTAACTTTCACAGCCTTAAGATAACATACATTGTGCGATAACATCAAGCCACTTGTCTGTAATTACACAAAAATCACCATTAATAGTTAAATTGCATTTCTTATTGTTGGCTTCTAATTGCATGTTACGAATTAAGTTTAGTAACTTCGTAACAATATGTATGTCGAGATATTGATGCGAGCCTTGAGCCTGATGACCTTAAGCAAGCTTGCTTATGTCCACTCCAGATTTGACAGCGAGAGTGGTGTCCAAGCTGTTTTCCCTTTTTGTTAGAGAAACCAGTCTTCTGAATCCACATTTAACCATGTATGTGGATGGAAAAGCAAGTAAATATATTTCAGCTATATCACACAGTCTGGGGCATCAGTCTATCGAAAAATCCCTCTTATATAGCGTGAGGTTTGACCTTGCTAGTGGGTCATCCTTAAGCTCTATGAGACTTTCTGGATTTCAGCTCCAACATCACAGGATTGTACATCAAATGGATCCATGTCAATAGGGTCATGAAACCCGTCTTTCATTTCTTTTCGGAGTTCTTGTAATTGACTGGCATAAACAATCAATTGGGAACTGTGAAAATTCCCGGCATCCGATGTTCTGAGCATATACTTCTAGCTTGTAAAGAAAACCGATAAATAGATGTTTGCTCGAGATGAGGTTACTCAACTTGCCTTGAAGGGTTTTACTTAATAAGTGAGGTTTTTAGAAATCATCAGTCAGATAAAACACATCTCGCTTAGCTGTACACAATTTTCTTTGATAATCAGTTCCAGAAAGAATGTGATGATGGTGTCCCAGAGTGCAACATAACGACGAATACAGTTGCCCTTGGAGTGCCATCTAACTTTTGTATGCAAAATTAGAACCTGAAAATTTTCAATGATCTCCTTACACAACTGCTGGAAAAGACGATCCAGAAAAGGGTCCGGATTGATATTGTTAATTAATATAATAAGTGTTGACAGTGAATTGTTTAAGCGTCCTCCAACGTCGTTAGCTACTAGGGGATCCCAGTGAATCACACAGTGAACTGTAGGAGCAGAAGAGAGAATAATTTTTACATGGGCAATGAATCCTCTATATCTTCCGACCACTGCGATAGCACCACCTGCAACTATGTTCTGCATTGTGATGGAGTTTTCAGACAGATAGTCATTGACTGCATCGACTATAAACTGGCCCTTTGTATGAGTTTTATATATCCTGGCAAGCAGCATCTTATCCAGTAATTCATTATCAAAGAAGAATCAGATAGATGCCGAAGGAAGAGCGTTGTTTTCAGATGAAACAGATTTATCTACTAGTAATGAAAAGTTTATGGAGTGTAGTAAAGTAACAAAGGTACTTTGTATGTCCTGAGCCATCTCTATTCGCCCAGATACAGTTGTTACTCAGCAGAATGACTTAGATTGCTTTTTGTGGATTCATGTACATCAAGCCCGAAAGTATTAGTAATGCTGAAGGCAAGATAATATTAGCTGCAACATTGTGTGGACTGCAATTTTTGGCAATCAATTTGATGATTTTATAAGACGCCGTAAGTCCATTTGTCAGTTTAGTCCTCACAGAAACTATGGTGATTCAAGTTGGCATGTTTTAAAAGCCATCCCGCAGCTTTCTAAAACAATCCAGACTTCCTGCTTTTGCCCTTATCAACACTTTCCAAATGATTTTTCAATTTGAGTGATGGCATACTTTCATTTGAAAGAGTGTTTTGGTAAATTAAACACATAGGTAGAGTGGGGTTTTTGATGTGATGCGATTAATCCACATGACAGGTATTCTAAGGAGAACTGCCGAAGAATATAAATTGCTGTGGAGATCATTTCTGAAATATGTCATTGTAAATAGCTAATAGGTAATATATGTATACTGCTTTTGTTTTAATATTCTTACATAGTTATATCATGTGCATAACATTATTCGACAAGGCGAAACACGCAAGCAGTATTAATAATTGGTGGCACTAAATTTCTTGCTTGACCTTGAGATTATAAGAAAAAACGTTTAGCAAGCATTCTTGCAACTTCTGTGTGTGGCTACAATGTTAAAATGTATGCCTATAAACAATGTTAGAGGACACTCAAAGGCGCTTTCTGAGAATGGCTTTGAATATACCGTGGATGGGTAAAATGACGGAAGAAAAATTCTTGACGAAAGCCAATGAGGTAAACAAATGAAGCTCCGAAAATGGCAATACTCATTAGACACACATAAATTACAGGAAAGGCGTGACAAACAATGGTAACAGGTATAATGAAGGAGAGAAGAGATAAATATGGAAGAAAAGGTCGAATGATTCCAGGAACCAGCATGGGTGTGTCAACAACGAAGCGGATAATGTACATCAGCTATTGCCAAACATGGCGCCAAATGCGTGCTGGCAAGGCATTTGATTATTATAATTACAAAGAGAAGCATCCTTATGTACACATTATGTTATATATGCTCACCAAAGCACTTGGTTATCCACCCGTAAGATAGTAACCCACGCGCACAGAGTAGCCACTCGTATTCGGAAAATTGCGGGCTAACATGACAGCCGCCAGGCATACACGCGAGCTAAGGCGGTAGTGTTCCACCATTTTAAATGTCAGTGAAATTTGTTCACACCAATAAATTTTTACAACCCCTTTCTTATAATCATTAGAACTACAGACTAGTGAAACACTGCCAGCTGAGACAGGAGACGAAAAAAGCGTAACCTAACACCACCGCAGTATGACCCGAACGAGGAAGACTGACTGGCACATGAGTGTCACACAGTGGTAGTGTCCTGAGGAGAGCTCATTTAGCTTCAGTGTGGCTTTGTGCCGTAACTGCCGCAGTGCACTGATGAGAGTTCGCTAGATTCACTGCAGCTTGCACAATAGAAGCATCAGTGTTCTGAGTAAAGCTCAGTTAGTTCATTGTGGATAGGTTTCAAAGTGTTGAGGACGAATCGGGGGTTAGTTGCGCACTCTAAGTCGCTGAGTGGTGATTATACGCCTGAGATAAGCCCGGCGAAATCTGCGCCACAGAAAGTCCGCTAAGCCTGGCTTACACACCTTCGAAAACAGGCACTTGGGCGCGCGTAATTCATTTCACTGACCTGTAGTTACCAGAGGAGATTAGCGCGTGGAGAGAAACTATCAGAAAATGATGTTTAAATGAAGTTTGTTATTTTTGTTATCCTAACCCACTTTCATAGCACAGCCCCCTATGGCCCTCCTAAAAGATTTTCTCATCCCGGGGGGGGGGCGCAATCTTATTGAGTTCTTTGTATAGAAGCGGGCTTCGTGGAACTAACCTGTTCTTATCTTTCCATAAGTCAAAATGATTCATTTGTCCTTGACAATGCTACGCGCGAACACTAACGAAGATGTAAAATGATTCACATAGGTCCGCATGCGCTCTCTCACTTTGCTGAGAATTTCCTACCAGTAGGGTGCACATAACTGTGTTCGCAGCATTAACATTCTGAATGCAATATTGCGTTGTTTGTGTATCTCTCGTCTCTATTTTTATCAACATGGCTTTCTCAACGTTTCCGTTAATTTATGGGTCATAATCAGGTGGTATGATTTCAGAAATCTGGTTCCGATTTCAGATAGCGACCAGTTTCGTTCTTGCTGTCATGTTAAGTTCTGCGATCTAGACACCTGCGGATGAATATGCGTAGATACCCACTGCGAAGGAACGACTTGAACAGACACTATTCTTCCATCAACTTGCTTCCAAACTGCTGCAGCGTCACTCTACTCGGCGAAATAACATCTGCCGGCAGTTCACTTCGACAGTTCGGATTTGGACGAAACAAGGCTTGCTCCTCACAAATTTGGATTTCATGAACTCCAGTCAGTCTACGGACAAGGATAGAGGCAAGTAGCTACAAGTGGTAGAAAGTATACTAATATATTTACGACTTAAGTATTCTGGACATAAACCCCTTAGAATATCGAAATTGTAACAAGGCGGTCACAGTCCTTTGGAACAGTCTGGAATGTCAACGACGTCGTAAACAATCGTGTCTCATCCATAAGAACTGGTATCACGAAGAAAGTCTATCTGGGACTGAGACGTAATTCCCATCTCACGTCCGACCCTTACTATCTACGAGAGAGAACCAAAAGGACGGCACAGGAAGCGGAGTGACCACAAATCAACCAGGAATCCGATAATTCTGACATGTTACACTGATTTTCACAGTGTATAGCCCGACGCTCCAAGCATTCTGATAGGTTGTGGATTGACTTCGCTTTAGTCCCCATCCTGATGCCCATTAGCTACAACAGGGGAATCGTTGCAGAGTGTAAATCGACGCAACAAGTTAAAATCTAGTCTCGTTGCGATGGATATTGCGAATCGGTACTAGATTAGTACAGGGCTTGTTAGATAAGCGCATGCCAAACTTTGCTTAACGTCGGGGGATCCGAGGGCGCTTGTGGAGGAGGAAATCGACAGGGAGTTAGCGAGGCTATTTGTTACTGGCACGTAGGTTTAAGGAACCCCAGCCTGTCCGAGCGCGCGAATTCGAGCGTGCGTACGGGACCAGGCAAACCTCGAAGTATCCAAAACACAATCAGTGAGAGGAAGAAATAAAACTCCTAGTACCCGCTTTAAGAAAAAAGGAAAAATAAAACTAGTAATAGTGGTAGTAGTAGCAGTAGTAGGTGACACTGCGTGCCATAGAAAGTATGGCCCAGATGATCGGTGATACATACTACGACATTGTGAATGAAACGATCGGGTATTCTCTTATGGCACAAAATAAAGCGGACAATTCAAATCCAAACTGGAACTCACTCAAGTGAACAGAATGTATGTGCGCCCGGAGAGCAAGATAGGGAGAGAAGAATTTCCCACAGTACTTACAGGTGCAGGTCCGCTGACCTGGAAAAGAAGGTAAAACATCAAAAGTGATGCAGAATACGACTTAAAACATAGGTGGTGCAAGTAATAATGGGTTATCGAATGCATACGGTTGATCAGTTGGTCTTGAAAAAATGGTGAACATTTCTCGTTGTAGCTACTCGGCTCGTCCCAGATCTGTCACATAAAGCATTGAGCCACATGAAATGCTTGCCATATCTGCACAACATTGAAGTCGTGAGATTTTCCCTCTTAAGTGATTCTGTTCGAACTGATATTGTTCTCTTAAAACTCCCCAAGTCCTGACAAACTCAGAATTCAGTCCATTCAACAAAAGCGTATCTGAGGAGCAGCTACCGAAACGGATAGAAGTGGTGCAAAATGAACGGATATTTATAGTTTAACTGAAGAATATTTGTGTTCCAGAACAGCCAAGTCAACCCATTTAGATGTTAACAGTTCGTGACGCTCTTTGTGCAAAATATTCGTAAATGTGAAAATTCAAAATTGCGAATGATAGTGACAGATTGCCCAGATGCACAATCCCTACACCGCAACGACGCAATTCGGTGCCCACGTGCGTAGACCTAGCGAATTAATAACTGATTGAAAAGGCAAAGAAGACTTTGCATAAGGTTACATGATGTGCATTCAGAAATGAGGATCAACAGTACCGTTAGAATGTAACTCTCCGTTCCTCATTCACGGTGATCCCATGTTCCGCACTATTGGTTACCCTCCGATTAATATCAAAGTTGATTTGCTTTTAAGTATTCGGCGTACCCTGGGCCTGAATAAAACGCAGGCGCGACGGTACGAAGGGACAAAAGACAGCAGATCCAAAAGTGTGTGGTTGCTTGATCAACGATCCATAGTAGAGAACGCTTGAGTTGAAGGTGAGTTGGAGACTGATAGTGTAAATCGACCATAACAAGAGTCGAGACGAGCATGTAGCTTAAGGACTGCACCGAAAATCCGTTAAATCGACGAAAAAACAGGTCAATATTAACCATTTTGATGAAAGCTGCTCTAATTTTGTCTGAATGCAGAACGGAAGGCAAAAAGTCATAACTTATGCATCTAGTAAGGCATCCTTTACGTATGTTTCACTCTCCGTCTACGCTTGTTTGTCTGAAAGTGTATGCTGTGTACGGTCCTCGCCGCTCTAACTACTCTCCTCAGTTGAGGAACCAATACTCATATGTCAATGGGAACAAACCGTCCGTATGTTCGGTTATTGAATTACGAATGTCAACTCACATTCCGACCAAATTCCGTGGATCCTACCGCAGATAGCTTATTCCTTAGTCAATCCAACGATCCTGACAACAAAGGGGATGACGAAGAAAAGGCAATCCCTTCAATTTCACAATCAAGTTAACTTCCCGTTGCAACTAAGGACGAGTTTCAAAATACCAACCAGAGCGATTCAACTGCACAAGCCGTTTCCCACTATCATTATTATATAAAGCGCGGTGGTGAATTAAACGCGTTCGAAGTACTAAAAGATGAAGTAGTGATCACAGAGGGTTGTTTTACGCAAGGACAGAGATTTGCGGCTAACATCGAAAACGGCCTAATGTGCACAAGACCGTCATCCTTGTTTCGTGCGAATGAAGGGATGCAAGAAATAAACAGGATAACAGTCTTATTCGAATGTAAGCGAACACTTACTCAAGTGAACAGACTGGAAGTGTTTTCGAAGGACATCTATCCGTGAAAAGGATTTGTCACAGTGGCCACACTTGTGTGTTCGCTGCTCTGGAACGGAAAGCAAATGACGAAGCATAGCTTAGGTGGAAGTTTAGGAAATCATAGCACCAGCGTTCTCTGAACAGTTCACTGATGCAAGACAAAGCGTACAAATACCACACACAGATTGAAGAAGCGGAGTAGGAATTAGACCATGTATGTGGTCGTCGGAAGGGAGATGGCAAATAACGAGCAGGTAGAGATTAATTGAGTAGATATAATAATGTGCCAGCAATCCATCAGTATCGATACTTCCAAGTTGGCAAAGTGAGGTGTTGTCATGATCGTTACACCGTCGAAATACCTCAGTCACATGAATGGCAACGCAATGCACAAGCATATGTTGTCATACGAAAGCAATTGGGTATAGTTTGCTGCCTTAACCAGGTTATCAAATTATCACCGCACAGAACGCCCTCGTACGCTTCACTGTGCAATGCTTTGCCTGTAACGAAGCATTATACATATATATTTATAAATTTATATATATATAATCTTAAATATACTATTTATAGTATAGATACTGTGCCACTGGAATCATGGCTGAATAAAAAAACAGGATGAATAGTAAGAAAATAACAACGACAACAAAAGCATTTTAGTTGTTTGCCACTCACAGTTTACTGAAATTTTTCAGTTTGTTTTTTTGTGGGGGAGGAAGTAGAGACACCGCAACACACCGATGCACACGTCCGCCGCTGACATCGATCTTCATCCATGGCTCCCAACGACGTCAAAAAGCACGTATCCACATCTCTCGGACCCCAACGAGGTAGTCGACAACAACCGGTCGAGTCCAACTGATTCGTCAGCCTTTTCATACGGCTTCTCCAAGTTGCAGGCTGTTCATCAGACCGCCTCTTTCAGCCCTGTCCAGCGACCGCAAACAACGCACGACGCGGGTAACGCTGAACAGGCATGCGCAATGCGTGTCCCAACCACCGCAGTTGATGCAGTGAGGTGAGCTCCTCGAGTGAGTGGCTTCCTCGTCCCAAGACGCACTAACTTCGACATTGCTTACGTGGTGTCGCTACCACACACGGGCAATGGACCGCAGACAGCGATGTTGGAAGACGCATAGCCTGCGCAAGTCATGCTTACGAATGCGCCATGTCTCGTATCAATACAACAGTACAACACAAACAGTTACACAATAGACCTGCCCTTGGATGGAGAGACGAATGTCGTAGCGACACCCCAAGTGTCTCAGCCTAGAAAAAGCGAGGCGTGCTCTCGAGATGAGCATCGAAATGTTGTCTCCAACTGTACGCCACAGAAAATGAAACTTCCCAAGTAAACAAAGCACTTCACACCCTACAGTGTCTCACCACCAAGAGTGAGTGCAGACACAGGCACATGCTAGCCTTAGAAGAGAGCCTTGCATTTGGATGGCGAAAAGTACATACCATACGTTGATATTTTAACCGCTAAACGGTTTAGTGCAAGTTGAACGGCGTGTGGATCGTCACCCAAATCAAAAACTCGACTACCCTGGAGGAGCTCAACGCCAGCGTTCAAGGAATCGCCAAGAGCATTCTTTGGGACATCCCAAATGGCAAAGTTGAATAGGAACGGAGAGATAGGACATCCTAGTTGAACTGCACTGAAGACCACAATGGAAGGTGAAAGCTTGCCATAAGCCCTAACCCTGCCCGAGGTCAGGCCACAGAGAGCGCGCAGTATGGAGACGAACTTCTCAGGGACGCCATTCCTCAGTAGGCAGTTCCACAGTACCGTCCGATCGACAGAATCGAAGGCTGCACGGATATCCAGGAACACAGCAATCGTTGGTCTCTGATACACATGGCGGAGCTCGAGGATCTGGAGGAGTGTAAAGATTTGATCGATGCAGCCGCGACCAGGAAGAAACCTAGCTTGTTCTTCTCGTTGCAACGATTGGCGCGTTGGGGATAGCCTGCGAAGTATGCTGGACACCAGCAGCTTGCATACGACGGGAACTGAGCTTATGCCTCTGTAGTCGGAGCAGATTGTGCGTAGGCCCTTTTTGAAGATGAGGACGACTATCGATTCACCCCAAGTTTATGGAGCTTCCTCTTTCGACCAAACTTTCGGGAAGAAAGCAGTGAGTTTTCGAATCAGCGAAGCGCCACCGTCTTTGAATAGAGCTGGAGGAAGACCATCAGGGCCGGGGGCTTTATAAAGCTCTATGTGGCGGAGCTGCTGCTCGATTTTCCGGGAAGAGGGAGGATCTGTGGGGTACACCACTCGGCACTAGTGCGAGCGCCAGTGGTAGCAGATGGAGCTGGGGGCCAATAAAACTGCGAACCAAAATGTTTGGCCCACCGCTCTAACCGTCGTTAAAGATTGGTCATCAAGGTGCCATCCTCTTCGCATATTGTTTCACTTATACCAGATCGAACATCTTCGGTGACTCGAATGAGATGGAAACGTTTTCTGGTATTACCAGAGAGACTAGCAAGCTCCATCTCCCTAGCACGTTTACACCACCAAGCTTCGCGGTCTATTTGCAGACTCCTGCGCAACTCTCGACCAAGGGAATGGCGTTCTTCACTGTGTCTGAAATCCGACGGGATCAAGCTACGTCTGCCCATCAGCGACAAGACGGCGGAAATCCAATGCTTCGGTGGGTGACGGGCAACTCCACAAGTATCGATACTGGCGGAAACTAAGGCATATTTGATCTGCGCCCACTGCGAATCGAGGTTGCCGTCAATAGTTGAGCCAAGCAATCTGACAGTGAGGGTTGGTACCTGGTTAAAATCTCAGGGTTTTGTAGATTTGCGACGTCCGGCGGTAGAGAGCGCGCTTAGGTGATCATCGGAAACGCATGCAAAGCTTAGCACGAACCAATGCGTGATCGGAGTCTATATAAGTTGACCAGTATAATCGGAAGTCTATTACGCTTCCGCGCCACCTGTAGCTGATTGCTATGTGATCAAGCTGAGAGCACTCTTGCGTTTGTGAAGGCGGGCGCCATGTAGCAGTGTGTCTCCTCGGATGCAGAAAACTAGTGCTCGAAATAAACAAGCGATGATCAGAACAAAGAGCAAGCAGTCTGTCCCTGTTGTCTGGTCGACTGCCACCGAGACCAAAACTACCCCAAGGTGGTGCTCGCTTGGTGGAAGGCCCACCTGTGCGTTAAAGCCCCGGCAAGAATGGCTATATCAGTCCTTTTGGAGGAACGCAGAAGTTTAGGTAGCTGCTGCTAAAGGCTGTCCTTGATTGTATCTGTAGGGGCGTAGGCGGAGACGACAAATAAGGCAAACTTAACGTCTCAATGCCTGCTTACGTTACATTAACCTTTTAATGGGACTGCGCATAGCCGACTGTTGACTGGGATCCAGTCAAGCAGAGCTGATACAGCCCTGACACACAGTGAAACCCCAACACCAGCTTCGTCAGAGGCGACAGCTTCTGGGTCTCCGGAAAGTCGCAAGTGGTATTTGGCGTCAGGATTTCCGCAGACGCCATTCTGATGACGACGCTAGAGTCTTGTAATCTGGTCCCTGAAAGGCAACAGATGGCTACCGAGAGCATTTCAAGAGTACGGGCCAGACATGCTTGTTGTCCGATCTGCATCAAAGTTCGAACATTAAACGTTGCGAGGATGAATGGAGAACCAGGTCGAAGAACAGCTGGAGCTTCAGTGGAGTGAGAGACGGTTGCGATCGCAGGACATTGAAAACCGGGAGCCTGGCTGTTACTTCCAGCAGTTGAAGACGTGGGTCGTTTGTGACGGAGACTGAAGAAGACATACGAGTACATATAGGTGAAGGACAGGAGATGAAGTGATCCGTGAGCGTTGAGGAGTTGAGTTAGCAAAGATGATAGGCATAGCAAGAATAGTAGTAATCAGTGTGGTCCGTGATTCGTCAGTGAGTGTGATACTACCCGGTCGCCCAGGCCGAAGTAGAGGGTTGTCTTAGAGAGCCCCACGAGCCGTTGAGCAACAATCTAACCTACAAGGCAGCAGGGCGATGTGAGGGCGCCGCAACCAGTTGGAACCTGGTGACCAATATTACATACGCCTTTCGGTCAGTGAAAGACCAGGGGCACAACGCATCCTTGAAGTACACTGCCTCTCAGGTAGGAGCAAGGGGCAGTGACTTTATTTGGTGGCAAGTCACATTCGCCACGTCGCAATGTTGTTCAAGACATTTGTGGTTTTTTATAAAGAGAACGCTTGCCAGGTGAAACACTGGAAAACTGCCGTCGAACCATTTGCTGGAACGGGAAAAACCCGAACCACCCAGCTGGCACCACGAGGAGGTTGTTCGGCAAGCCAGCGAAATAGAAGGCAGTTGCGATATCCAGACCGGTCTCACTAGGGCATATGGGGACCTTTCTCCAAGTGATGGTGTTCACATCCCAGAGATGTATCCACGTGACGCTAACCTAGGCGGAACGTACGTAGAACAATCAAACGCCCGTCGCAGTTAATTCGGCCTCGAGGATAATCGAACAAATGAGGTGGTGAGATGTGTGATAGCGAGGAAAAAATGACAGTCACCATTATGACGAAATCTTGTGATAACTGCGTCTGTAGTGGATCACTGAAGGATTTAAAGCATGCACCTATGGTAAATTCCACTTAATGTACTCATGAGAAGGGGATATTTGATATCATTAATTGTGGCTGTTCGCAGCCAGCTTCCAAATCAGGTAGTCGTCCACATGTCCGGTAAAGCACTAGACTGCAGCTAGCTTGTAAATTGTGACGGTCCGAAGCTGTCCCTCGTGTCCCAATGGCATAAGCTGCTGAATGGCGGTTCAATCCGCTGGTGGTCATGGGATCGTATCCTGATGGATCCGATGGATGCGCACTACTAATGATGCCCAACAGGCTGAAACTGCAGTCTGGTGCTTTTCCGGGCATGTGGACGACTATGTGATTTGGAAACTGACTGCGAAGAACCTCAATTAAAAATTTCACTTAACCGATAAATCAGCAACCCGAGTGATGGAGACAGATGACGTAAGTCTAAAGTGACAACACCGTGTGAGCGACGTGTAGCTCCGTAAATACA